AAGGGCACTTATACATGTGACAGAGCTCTGCTCTGATGTGTGCTAATTAGCACACGGAGCAGACTTGATTAATAGAGTCTGCTGTGAGTCTGCTGGAGCGTGCTCATTAGCATTCTCCAGCAGGCTCTGTGTCACATGTATTCAGCATCCCCATGTTTCAAAATGGCAGCAGGGGCACTTTAACTAAAGCTTGTCGAATGAGCTTCAGTTAAAGCACCCCCACCACCATTCTGATGTGTGGGATGCTGAATACATGTGATGTTGCAGGCGTTTTAATTAGAGCAGCTCTTAGAGCCGCTTTAATTAAAGCACCACCCCCCACCCTGGAGCACGTGTGTAGATACCCAAAGAGACCAGGGTAATTAGCCCCTTTTAAAGGTGGATAAGCAGAGGCAGAGAGAAGGGTGTGACTGCTGGGTGTTTGGCAGCTATGATAGGCCAGGAAGTTCAGTTGGCTAAAGGGGAGGAAAGTCCTTTGGAAAATCTGGCCACTAAAAATGCACTTAAAACAAAAGGCCTTGAGTTCATTTCTGCACTGACTCTGGCCAGGGTGTACCATGCCTGCATTTGGCCATCTGAGTACAGCATCTGCCCCCCCACTGCTCAGCTGCACCTCCCTGAGAAAGCAAGGTGGTTTGTTTATTCCACCTGGTTTTAAAGTGTGTGGTGCCTTCTCTGAATGCTGCTGGAAAAAAATGGAAATCCTACCAAATAAAGTCTGAGTCATGATTATCCAGCTGTTTTACCAAGTCTTTGAGGTCACTGTGGGTTGTGATCAGTGCCTGCATGGTTTTTGCAGGCAAGAGTGGGAGGGCAAGATAGGAATAAACCAGTCACAGCCACATCTATACAAACACTGACATCACCCAAAATGAAACCCTGACATCTGTCACAGCCAAACCTGGAGGGCTCTTTATACTATTGGTAATCTGCAGTCACATAGGTCAGTGCAAACTATATTTCAGTTGTAGCCACTCAAGCCAGTTTAATCACATTATAAATCAACTTTAAAAGAAATTTTCCACATGAGTGCAGTATGGAGGAACTAACCTTTTTTCTTCCTGCCTCCAGAATGCCTGATCCTCGCTGGCCTCTCCAAGCTAACATGAACTACATGATAAAACTTAAGTTATAACTGAAATGTTGCCTCTATCTCAAGTTCCATCCTCCTGTAAAAACTCTGATATCAAGCGTGGTGATGCTTATAACCTGAACTGACTGGTGTGTCAGGAGGCATAAGCTAAAACTGGACTGAGAAAAAAGTGTCCTCTGCACTGAGACTTGTGTCATTCAAGTGCCATTAGTCTTCCAGAACCTTCCCATAATTTTCCTCTCCTTAAATATGCACATAGGACCAACAAGCTCTCCCACAATTCAGTGGAAAAGAATCAGAGGAGCTCAGTTTATACCAAATGCTATTTCACAGTATGACTGCACCTCTTGAGAGGGCTAACTTAAGAGGAGTCATTTGAGTGTTGGTAACAGGTGTAACTTGACATTTTGGTACCCTGGGGTGGGCTCAGCACAAACTCCTTGAACAGGAGCTTCTGCAGCAGCCGTGGTGGCAGTGTGGGGTCCCTGGCGGCTGCTATTCTGGATTCCCTTCTGAATTGGCACCTGGTGCTGCCTTGCTCATGCCTCCCTCCAAGTTATGCTACTGGTCAGGGGTGAGTCCAGAGGGGGTGCAGTAGTGTGGCTGCACCACCCTTTTGGATTGAACTGCCCTTTTCAAAGTCCCTAAAAACATGAAAATGTCCCTTCCCTTCTGGCTCAGAGTCACACCCCTTCCCTCCTCTTTTCCCTCCTCTGAGCTGGAAGGGGAAGGAAGGGGGGATTTTCACCTGCTTTTGGGACTTAGAAAAGTCATTGGAGGCTTCCACAGCATGCAGCATGGAGTCACCACTAGTGGGAGTGGGGGAGACTGGGAGCAAAGGGTATAACCACCCCTGCAATGCAGGTTGCTCCTTCCTCACCCCTCTTTGAGAAATCCTGAATCCATCCCTGCTACTAGTAGATAACTCAGGTTTACCCTGCAGTAACTGGAATGCAGATAACTCAGGTGAGGCTCTGCTCACTTGGAATCAAACTGAGTCCATGTCTGCACAGAAAGTACACCAGCCCCAGCAGGGGTGCCCTCAGACACACCATACTGTTCCACATTAGGGCTGTGTGAAATTTCACCAGCTGTTTCTATTCAACACTGTTTTGACTCATTTCAAGCTTGAAACAGTGAAATCAAATTGAAACAAAGGGCTTTGAAACAGCCTCAAAACAAAATGAGGCTAGTCGAAATGTTTCAAAAGTTTTGAAACATTTTGAGTTTTGAAGCAGCCAGCAGCCAGCAGCCAGGTGGTGGGAGACAGAGGAAAACCAGGGCTGCATTCCTAGTGGCTCCACAGCCCCATGTGGCTCAGCTGGGAGTGCAGCCCTGGCTCTCTCCACCTCCCATGGCTGGGCTGTGGGAAGCCTATCACAGTGCAGGGGAAGGGAACTGAGCCCAGCTGGGCTGAGTTCCCATCCCCAGGGCTACAATGGGACAGGGGTAGGGAACTCAGCTCAGCTGGGCTGAGTTCCTTTCCCCAGCCGGATCGTAGTGCTGGGGATGGGAACTCAGCCCAGCTGGGCTCAGGTCCCTTCCCCAGCCAAATCGATCGTAATGCTGGGGAGGGGAACCGAGTGATCAGGTTCAATTCCCTTCCCCAGCTCCCTGGTCCCACGTGGCAGTACCTGGCTTCCCTCCCTCATCTGGCAGGCAGATGGGGGCCTGCAGCCCTGGGAGGACTGGCACAGCCCCCGCAGCCCTCCTGGGGTTGTGGGCTCCCATCTGCCTGCCAGACGAGACAGACTGTTTTGAGCTTGCCCGTTACAGCATATTGGCAAAACGTCAAAACAGCAGCGAAACAGCATCACTGTTTCGATGAAATGGAATAGCAGTTTCAAATCAAAATGAAATTCAAAACAAAATGCTGTTCTGTTGAAACCTCGAAACTCAAGTCGAAACAGAATGATGCCATTTCACACAGCCCTATTCCATGTGGTGTCCTTTCTAAATAGAAGTAGCATCACCACATTCACATCACACTTGGCTCCATGTAGACGAGGAGTAGGCCAGCTAGCTCTGGGGAAGTCTCACTGGCCCTGTTCCTCGAAAGTATTAACAGAGTGTTTGAAGTGCCACACAGAGCTGACTGGGGTTTTGGCTCTTTGCAAAGATGTGATATCTTTTATTAGACCAACTGAGTACTTGTGGAAAAGTTCTTTGCAGGCTTTTGGGCGCAGTCACCCTTCTTCAGGCATAGGAAGTCTGCTGAAATGTAAACTTCACAACATGAAGAAAAAAGAAGCTAACCTCAACAGCAAATATCCTGTCACATTTTTAGCTACTTTTATTCCTTGGAGTCTTATAGATTCATAGATTGTTAGGGGCTGGAAGGGACCTTGTAGATCATTGGGTCTAGTCCCCCTGCACTAGGCAACTGGGATCAAGTGACCCCAGCAAAGTGACTGTTCAGGCTCCTTTTGAAGATTCCAGGGCAGGTGACTGCACCACCACTGGAGGGAGTTTATTCAACAGTCTGGACACCCTGACTATGAAGGAGTTTTTCCTGGAACTGACCCTGAAGCAGCCTTCCAGGAGTTTGCATCCATTACTTCTGGTCTTCCCCAGGGGTGCCCTGGTGAACAGCTGTTCACTGAGTTCTTGATGTACTCCCTGATGTAGCAGTAAGTTGCTACCAAGTCCCCTCTCAGCTTTCTCTTCTGTAGACTGAAGAGGCCCAAGTCCCTCAGCCTCTCCTTGTATGTCTTGCCTTGCAAGTCCCTCATCATATGGGTGGCTCTTCGATGGACCCTCTCAAGTTTTTCCACGTCCTTGTTGAAGTGCGGCACCCAGAACTGGTTGCAGTACTCCAGCTATGGTCTCACCAGTGTGGAGTACAGTGGGGGTATCACTTCCTTAGTTTTGCATGAGATGCAACAGTTAATGCATGCCAGTGTGTTGTTTGCCCTGCTGGCCACAGCATCGCACTGTCGGCTCATGGTCACGTGATGGTTGATCACTACCCCTAGGTCCCTTTTGGCCCTGATGCAAGTCAAATTGTTGCCACCGAGCCTGTAGGTATGTTGTGGATTGTTTGCCCCCAGATGGAGAACCTTACACTTCTGAATGTTGAACTTCATCTGGTTCCAGTCCATCCAGCTTTCCAGCCTGTCCAGGTTTTCCTGTATCTGCAACCTATCATGACGACACTCCCCAAGTCTCAAGTCCTACTGTTCTGAAGTCTCAGAACAGCAGAGACTTCCTATGCCTGAACAAAGGTGATTGTGCCCAAAAGCTTGCAAAAAACTTTTTTCCATCTAGTCAGTTGGTCTAATAAAAGCTATCACATCTACCCAAAGAACCTTGCCCACGCGGAACTGACTACACTGCCTCCAGTGTAGTGCACAACCTGCACAAGGCAGCACACTGCATTGAAGGGCAGTGCTGCAGAACTCTAAGTTTGCCAAGAAGACATGGTTAAATCAACCTTAATCATATTTACATAGCGAGCAGGTTCTAGCACTGTTTCACCTCCAGTCAATATCAATAGGAAGGGTTTGTCTCTGCAAGTAGTGCAGGCTAACCCAGGTGAGAGCCCAGCCTCTAGCCAGTCTGACACGTGATTGTGAGACACTAGGAGGGCCCAGATGAAAATGTTGCATTCCCACATTAGGGAGGCCTTGCTAGAATCCAGTTCATAGCAACAGTGATCTACCTTAACCTGTGGTTAAAACAGTTCTCCATCCCTAGTTAGGGTTCAGAAAGAAGCTACAAGAATCAATCAAAGTCCAGAGACTTGCCTTCGGACACTCAGTTGAGGTTAATGAAGGAAAAGTGAAGTGACTTGTTTGCTCTCAACTGGTTTCTGGTAGCAGAGGACTCTTCATCTATAAGACAAAGGTAAGAACTGAAGCCACATTAAATTCAGTGCAGAGAGTAATTAACCTTTGGCAAAACTTACCAGGGCACGTGACAGATTCTCCATCACATGGAGTCTTTCAGTGCAGACTGGTCATCTTTCTAAAAGATTTGCTGTAGCTGACACATGAGTGATGAGTGTAATGAAGTCCTGGGTCAGGGTCTGTGGCCTGTGCTCTCTAGGTCAAACTAATGTACCAGTCCCTTCTTGTCTTAAAATGTATGAATCCCCCTCAGCCCCTGAGAGCCCAAGCACAATGAAACTCCTTCATTTCCTAGATCATGGCATGCATGCATTCAAATGTTCTTGATGTCAAGGATCCCATGCAGTGATCCCAGAAACAAGTGTCTATGCATAAGAGACCACAAGGATGAAAATATGCCCTCTAACTGCCCCTTTTGTCATGAAATCCCACACTACATGGCAGACTGCCAGTAGGAAATTGAGACTGAAACTTGGGAAAGGAAAGGCTGCTGATCTGTGTCTCCACCCAGACCAACTTGGATCTGAGCCAGCACCTTGCTAGTTGTTCGATTAACTTATTTCCTCCATATCTTCCTTTTCCACTCCCTCCAGCATTTTCTGTGGGGACTAGAAGCAGCAGTGCCAGCACGCAACAAAAAATCCTGTTTTTGTAAGGTTTCCTGCTCAGGCTCTCAGGTCAGGCAAGCTGCGGGTAGGCACCTGGAAGGACAAAAATAAGGTCAGGTGCAGACTTTGGGAACAAAAGCAAGTCACCTTTCTGAATGTTGTCAGGAGGAGACCAAAGGGAGGCAAAGGAAAAAGCAGTGGAGCCTGCAGGAGGCTTGAGCTAACCTCTTCCATGCAGGTGGTTCCCAGAAATTGTGACCTGGGCACACCAGCAGGACAGCACGAGAACATTTTTGTTGCCATCAGACCCCACTGCCTTCCAAAGTCCTCTGCAGAACATGAGCCCCAGCTCAGCCTCCCAGCAGCCTTGTGCAGCTGATAAGCATGACCAGCCACATGGTTCAGGCAGGCAGACCAGGGCCTGTCAGAGCCAGGACTGATGCCCAGAAGCCCTAATTACCACCTCTCTGCTTCACGGCTCAGATTCAGCGAGGTCCCAAGCACTCACTTAACATTCTGCATATGAGAGTTGTCCCGTTAGTGTCCATGGGACTGGTCACGTGATAACATTAAGGCTTGAACCTTGCTGCGTATGGAGTAGCAGCAGCTGTCTCCTCAGAGCAAGACCAGCCAATGGCCTGAAGCATTCTAAAAATAACAAGATCCTTTGTGGAGAGAAAGGACAGTCCAGTAGTCTGGGCAGTAGGCTGGGACTTGACACAACCAGTTCAATTCCATGCTTTGCCCCAGACTCCTTGAACATAAGAAATGCCATTTACTGGGTCAGACCATCGGTCCATTTAGTCGTGTTCCCTGTGGAGTGGCTCAGTGTTCTCTGGCTGTGGAAAGCCATGGAGCCTAGGAGGGCCATGAACATCTAAACCCTGCTCACATGCATGCTACAAATATACAGTACAGACAGCTCTGGAGCACACCTCTGCTTCCCTGTGTGCATGTCCCTAAGCAGTCTCTGTTTGACTGAACAGACGCAGCCTCAGTCTCTGTACCTCAGCTCCTCATGTCTTAAAAAGGTGAAACAGCACCTCTCTATCTCACAAGAGACTTGCAGGGAGGGTGTGCTAGGAGGTCGGATCCTTGTGGGAAGGAAGCCTCTGGAGATAACATTCTTTCCTAAATGCTAGAGAGGTGGGAAGGGTTTCATTTGAAAAGCCAACCTGGATATGAGAATTAGTAGCTTCACTTCATGGGGTTTCTTTTCAGAGCCTGAAGAACGTGCATGGCTGGGTTTGGTTCTGAGCTCACGTGGTTTTATGCCTCTGATTGGCAGCAGTAAGAGCCAGGTCAGAGTCAGACTCACTGAGACGCACAATGGGATGATCTGAGGCTGTGCTGCCACTGCGGTAACAAGAAAGTGCTGGTTCAGTTTGGCTTTCCTGTGGCTTGGGCTGTATGTTCATGGTGCTTCCCTGAATTCGTTTAAATCCTTTCCACCCAGGAGCAGGGCTGGAGAGAACCAGGAGCCATGAACATGCCTTGGGCAGAGTGACCTGAGGGGGGAAGTCAGGTGTGTAGCTCCCTGGGGCAGAGAGGCAGAATAATCCACTAGGAGGTGGAGAGGGCAGGAAGGCAGCAGTAAGAGGTAGCCTGCACCTTCTCAGTACTTCCTGCACCTTCACCAATATTTTAATGGTTTATCTTCCCCTCCCAGTCCCTTCCCCTCATACTCACCACTTCTCTCTTTGCTCTCTGCTTCCCCCCTCAACACACAGACATGTTCTTTTTCCCCCAACCCAGGCCAGGTTGCCTGCTTCATTGTGCACAACATTGCCACCTTCTGTGATTTTACTGCCAGCTTCAGACTACTTGGTGCTCTTCCTTAAAAGTTATAACTTTTAGATGATTACATGAGAGTTCAAGGACCATGAACTCTCATGGTCAGATGACTGCATGAGAATCACAGACACTGGCATTAAAGAGAGGGAAATGATGAATTTTTAGACTTGGTGGCTGCAGGACAATTGAAAGCATGACCGGAGTATGCCCTAGAGACCTATGTAACCCTCGTCATGACTCATGCATCAGCAAATTCAGAAGGGACACTGCCATTATTCCTGTCAAGTTTCTGTGCAATGGGCATTGACAGGTATCTTGGCATCTCTGTTTTGGAGAGAGCTAAAGCTTTGCTTTCCACTCACCCAGGCTTCATGAGTGCCTTTCCCACCTAAATTACTTTGCTTTGGTAGCACATGGGAAGCACAGAAAAAACCAGCAGCAGGCACACACAGCCCTAGGAAAGCTCCATTTGAGCTTCCTGTTCTGTGGTGGAGCTCTTTTAAGAATCATGCCCACTCTTTGCATCCCCTTCTGTGCTTAAATTATATTCAGTAGAGAAAGGAAGAGAGGAAGAAAGGCCAGTGGCAGACTACCTGTGCTTATGCCTTGCCACTCTCGGGTGTGTACAGAACTCATGGAGAGGGACATGCAAAGGCTAGCAGGGAAGATGCTCAGCAGATCTTCTATAGGCATCTTTGAACTACCACTGGCAGGGGAACTGGCCTGTTTAGAGGTTTATAATGTGGCTGATCAGCATGTTTAGGCAAAAGAAGGGGCCTGGGAGCAGCCCTAGGGAGCAGTGTAGATGTATTATATGATGAGCTAGGTACCCGTGGTTTGGCCTGGTTGTAACACTTTCCTGTCCAGCTCCAGACACAGCTTTGCCATCAATGGTGATAGGGCAAAACTTTGTTTAAACTAGAGATGCACCTCAGCTAAAAAAATCCAGATCTGGCTCAGCCCTGATTTTGACTGCAGTCCTTAATCTTCACCTCAAATGCTGAGAGAACAATGCACCTGGCCTGTGCTTACATACATTTCCCTAACTCAGCAAAAGCCCCCATGGAGATGGGATGTTGCTCTGCTCCATGGTGACTAGACACATGTCAGGAGTCATCTTCCATTAGTCTCATGGTACTTGACATGGTGGAGCTCAACATATTACTAAGTGGCAGTGAGCATAATCCTTGTTCACCAACCATATTATCCCATTAAAGCATTGCGTTATGGCTTATTATCATGCTGCTTACATAACATTACTCTTATTATCCTGTTAGTACATTAGTCTTCTGACTGGGCTCATGACAGGTATTCCTTATTCCCCTCTCTATTGTTGCTATGTGCGTACAAACAGGAGGGGCACTGGAAACCAACAGGGAATGAGAGTCAGAGACACCTCACGTAATGGAGTCATGGGCCCATATTGCTGGTAAGGCCTCTAGCTGGTCACATGTAAGTGCAAGTGTCTTCTTTGTGCATGTGTGCCTGGCATTTTGATACAGAAGAAGACTATGAGTATATGTACCAATCTAGCTTTGAAAATCTGCTCCAGCCTGTCTAGGTGTTATCTGGGGTGTCAAACCCTCCTGCTTTGAATGGCCATTGGGTAGTCTGGTTAAAAATAAAGTCAATTTAGGAAATAAAAGGGAAATTACATTTAAGCACTATTTAGGGATCCAGTAGGGATTAAGGTGTATTATGGAGGCAGCCAGAGCTCTCCAAGGGCTCGGGAGGTAATTCCATATACATCTAGATATAGATCAGTCCAAGAGAGTCCCTTATCATCCAAAACAGGAGGAGCTAGAAAGGCCAGGAAGTCCATTCAGCACCTTGCTCTTGGTGATCTACTATATTTTCTCACATGCAATGTGCCTCCAAATAAGCTACACACACTGTTTTTGAAAAGCAGAATGAAGAAAAAACGAGGTTTCCTTGAAAATACTGGTAAATAGCAGTAAGTAACAGAGTAGCGCTTCTGTAGCAGAAACCTCTCCTGGGAGAAAGAGAAAATATCTACAGCCAGTAGCTAAAGAGCCCCAACTGCAGCACTGCAAAAGGCACAGGCAGAAATGCAGTTCCCAGGTCTAACTCATGGCGCTTTGCAGAAAGTGCCGTGTGTTAGACTTATCCCCCTAACCCAACAGATATTAGCTGTTGGGTTGGGAGTGTGGGAGATTGAGCTCCAGTTTGGAGCCCATGCAGGGACAGAGGCTGCATGTCTGCAACCTCTTCCCCTAGGTCCTCCCCCTGTCTCCCAGCTCCTGTACTGACTCAGGATGGGAGGGGGAAAAGCAGGGGAGGAAGGTCCATTCTGGGGTATCCCCAGCCACACTGCCCCCCCCCACCTCAGGATGGGCTTCAATCCAACCACCCCACCCTCCTGAGCTGGCTGGGCAACCCCTAGAATGAGCTCCCTCCATTCTCTCCCCCCACCCTCCCATTCTGAAAATAGCACTGGGAGCAGCGCTGGGCTGTGTTAGCTGAGTTTTGCTCCCAGCAGGCACAGACAAAATTTACTGAAGGTGCTTCACTTTGGAGTGCCTTAATCTGAACCCTCATTTAATGGGAGTTCAGATTTTCATGGAATCAGGCCCTTTTAAGCACCCTGCACTTGTGTTTCATCACAGCTGTAGAGAGATTTCAGGGACCAGACTGGGTCAAAATTGTTGCTTCTGTCTGTGCCTAGAGTTACGTTCACTCCACCCACTCCCAGTAGAGGCAGACACTATTATCACTGTATTTCCTTCCTTATAATGTGTGCCCTAATTTCCAGCATCAGAGTTTTGGGAAATAGGTGTGTTCTGTATGTGATAAAATATGGTATTTTATGTGGATGTTGCCTTGCAGCAGTGGGCAAAACCAAGGATGGATACAGAGCTAAGTCGATGCCATTCAGGTTG